CACTACAGACAATGGAGGAGCTGGACCCCATTAAGGCTGAACTGGCCCCAGCAGGCTCTGCCCCACCACCCACCAACACGAGACTGACCCCCTTAGGAACTGTCCCCCACCAGCTGAACCCCCTCCCTGTCCCCCCCAAACACCAGACCCCACAAAGCAGCAGGGGGGGAGCGGGGGCAGGCCAGGACAACGGAAGGCTGACAGCCCTGCAGAGCCTCCCCCCACACCTGGGGTTTCCTTTATTTGTACAGCAGCTTGCTTCGAGCGCAGCGCAGGGCTGGGGGGTGCGCGTGGGGAGCCCCCTCCCTCCCCTCTGAGCGCAGCTCAGGACCCTGACTGAGAGCATCTCCCACTCCTCAAAGCAGTGTCTCTTCCCACTCCTGCGTCTTGGCCAGGGCAGATCCACACCAAGCTGCCGGGCCCGGCCCCGACACAGTTCTGGGGCGCCTTCTCAGGCCCTAGGTCCATGATGAGGTGGGGACAGCCCCAGCCCCACGGCAGCGTACCATAGCAAGGGGCTCAGTCCATCTTGGTGGGCTCCTTCTTACGCTGCCTGGTCTCCCGCACAATCTTGGCCAGGGAGAGGAGAATGGGGACAGACATGGGCAGGTAGAGCGGGATGTAGATGGCAAATTTCTGGTCATCAGGGAAGTAGAGGAGATGGAGAAGAGACGGGTCAAAGAAGGCCCGCTCCGAGGAGGTGACTGCCTCCTTGCTGGCCTGGAAAGCTGAGTGCAGGTGGCCCGTGGCCAGCTCGGCCATGGCGCTCTGTGCCGAGGCCACTGCTCGGTAGACCTGTGTGGGAACAACCCCGGCAGTCAGTACCTGGCCAGGGAGGACAGGAACAAGCCTGGGGGCCTCACCTGCTGCCAGGCCCAGGCAGCACCACATCAGTGAGAGCCCGTGGTCAGGACAGGGACACCCAGCCGCCTCCACTCCCCACCTCAGGGTGCCCCAGCTCTACCTCAGAGGCAACATCATCTTTGATGACAATGTTCCCAATCTTGTCCAGGAGCTGTGCCAGCGAGGTCAAGGTGGTAGACACTGTGGCGATGTTCTCCATGGTGTGGGCCCAGAGCAGGCGGTCCAGCTCCCAGTCGGCCAGGCCCTCGTTCCCCGGGCTCTCCAGCAGGAACTCGGGGGGAAGCTCCTCCCGAGACAACCCAAACAGTAACCTGGGAGGAGAGGAGAAGGTCCCAGCCCACATCACAAGCCTGCAGTCCCACAGGCGCTCCCCGCTCTCCCCATTCCCTGGTACATCCAGCCCTGGCAGGGCTCAACCCACGCCTGACGGCCTCCCGGCCATGCAGCAGGACAAGACGAGCTTCAAACCTTGGGAGATGGGAGACGTGCCAACACCCCTGGGCCAGGTGCAGCGCTAGTCGGTGGTCAGCACCTCAAAGGCCACAAAGAGCCACCCTCAGCCTCCCAGAGCCCACCCTGGCCATTCCCTGGTACATCCAGCCCTGGCAGGGCTCAACCCACGCCTGACGGCCTCCCGGCCATGCAGCAGGACAAGACGAGCTTCAAACCTTGGGAGATGGGAGACGTGCCAACACCCCTGGGCCAGGTGCAGCGCTAGTCGGTGGTCAGCACCTCAAAGGCCACAAAGAGCCACCCTCAGCCTCCCAGAGCCCACCCTGGAGCCAACGAGATGCATGGGTAC